GCCTATGCAATGATTCGTCTCCTATGCGAAAAAGGGGGGCGGAAATCGCATCGGATCGGCTCGTTAAACCGGCGAAACCGAGCGCGAACCTTTTATGCCCGTCTCGTTAATCATCCACCTTGCGTGTGAAATACGCTTATTTCCGCGGTGGCCGCCGCCTTTTGCGAGCTTCCCGCGACGAAAATAGAGGCCCGCCCGCGCTCTAGAAATATACGCGAGTTCGACGGGTAATCGCGAGCTCGCATTCCGCGCGCTTGACACGTTGAAGAGGAGACGTTGACGTTGACGCTCGACGTTGAAAATATCGTTTTGAAAATATCACGTTGACACGTGACGACGAAAAACGGATTCTGATGGATTCCAATTTTCGTACAACGGTGGGGAGGGGGGGGGGAAGGGACACTTGCCTTTCGACAAATTTATTACACGTGCGAATATTGAAAGACGCGTTGAATCATCGAAGGAATGAAACGAGCGGCACGAATAACAACAACAATAATAATAATAATAATATAATAATAATACGTTGGAAATTTTTGACGATCGTTTCGTTTTTTTCTCTTTTTCTTTTCTTTTTTTTTTTTTTTTTTTTTCACTCGAGGAAAAAAACGCTTATTCGCTTCGGCGAAACGCATCGTTAATAGAAATAAATGAAATTTATTCGGGACTAAAATTAATAGGAATTAATTTAAATTCAAATAAATAGAAATTAATTACGTACATAGGAATAAACGATCGGTCACGAAAATATGAAAATACATTCAAATTATAGGCGGCTTTCGAAAGTAGCTTATCGAGTATCAACCAGTCGATATAAAATATCCAGTATTGCTTAACCGCAAGGATTAATGACCTAGCCGGCTGAATAAAACTATTCATATAAAATCTCGAACGTGATTTTACCTCGAAATTAACCAAGTATTTATCAAACTTTCCAAACGCGCAACCTGAATCCCCCCTTCTTCCTCTATACTTTCCTATCATTCCAAGTTTTCCAAGAATCGTCAAAGTCTCCCCTTCTCCTCTTACGTCGTTCAGTCCGTCGAAAAAATATCCTCCCTTTCAGGAGCAAATTCAAAAAATCCTCGAAATTTTTCCTTCCCTAAATAAAACGATCGTCCACGGATAAAAGTGTCAAAGTGATCGAATGGTTTCGTTCGCCGTTGAAGAAGAAGAGATATAGGGCCAAAAATATTTCTCTCGACTGGAAAGCACGCGAACAACCCGCGAAATAAAAATCTTCCTTCCGTCCTCTGTGCATCCTTTGTTACGTTTCCTCACGCATCCGCTGTGATGCCAAGTTAAAAAAGAAAAGGAGAGGAGGAAAAAAATTATTCACTGGAGAACAATTGTATCGTTGCAGGCCGAAATATCGAAGAGACTGAACGCGATCATCGGACAGATCCTGCCCTTTCTGTCTCAGGAGCATCAGCAGCAAGTGGCGACCGCTGTTGATAGGGCGAAACAGGTCACGATGACGGAGCTGAACTCCATAATTGGGGTAAGTGCGCATCATGCTCCGTAATTGACTAATTTTCCGAGGAACGAGAGCGGGTTGCTCGATTGCTGCGTTACACGTCGGAATATCGCAACAGGTGCATCGTGAAATTACGCGTCTCCGTCGTGGAAAAGGTTATGGCAATCGTTCGACGATCGAAACCGCCATTTCTGGAATATATACAACGTGAAACGTGAAACGTGTTCGAAGAATTTTATCGACGAGGCGGTCAATTTTTTTACCGCGAGAAAAATTCGTAAAATCATCAGGAAACGTACACTGATAAATTACTTTCATCGAAGATTTTGTTTTAAAAATAAATTTTGAATGTACGTATATATATGTCTTATTGCGATTCAAATTGTTATTTCATCATATTAATTTGGATAAATATTAGAAAATTTTAGGATCAGGTAAATGGAATTAATTCTATTTTTTTCATCGATCATAAAATGTGAGTTCCAATCGATCGATGTTGATCACAAAAGTGAAGTTCCTCCTCGAATTACATGCACTTTACCCGAAATGACACATTTTACTTCGTTCAACACAACGTTGATTATATACATTATATATCCGCGGGATCGTTGGCTCGGTAAAAAAGTATATTAAACTGATATAAATTCACCTCTGCGCACACATCTTCATCCCAACGATGAAGTTAATAACCTTTAATCTATGCATACAAAATGGCCATTTCAACCGGACCTCATATCCCGCTCACCTTTCTTTCCCGCCCCCCACTTATACCCTGATATACTTTCCTCACCTTCGAAGCGAGGTATCGCATGTTCCACACTTAGAATTTCCGTTATATTTTGGTGGCCAAGGAGGGAAAGGGGTGTACACACGCAAAAACCTAATACAAAATACAGGACACGCGACCGGCCGTTTATTCGGCGAGCAGGTAATTTAAGGTCGTTAAGTCGGGTGAATCATTTTTATGTGTCCATTATCTTATGGCCGAACGTCAGCTTTTACTTAAAAAAAAAAAAGAAGTTTTTTCCTCGACATCAGCATCCCTTCTTTGATCTCGATTTAATTTACATAATAATCTAAAATCGGGTGCGTGTAATGTTACTTATAATCGACCAGAAAAATCTTTATGCGCGTTTTTACGTATCAAGTGAATATCAAGTGCAAAGTTGCGTTATTAAATTCAATAACAATTTTATTGTAAAATTTTCTCGATATATAAGTATAATGGATTCTACAGTTTGAACGAAGCAGGTGGAAAAGAGATACGAGATTAAAATAAATAGAAAAGTATGTACTATAAAATGCACTAAATGAAACAAGAAGCATAGAAAAAATTACTAATATACATCGAGATCCGTGAGAAAATGGATAATAAAATCGACATGTTTTAACACTCGTCACACATACGATCCCGAAAAAAACCGTATATTAATCGACATAAATTACAAATTTAACAATCTATTCTTAACGCCAGAACTTAACTAACCAACATTTTCTTCTCCTTATATTTTATAAAATTGACGTTTCTCCAAACGCAACATTAATTTTATTACTCGGGCGAAAAAAAATTATCATGTTTATTCAACCATTAAGATTACGATTACATTACCTACATCTAAGTGGTTCTAATGGTTAAAAGCAAAAAAAGGAGGGGGGAGGGAATTAGAATTTTCTAAGTAATAATACATCGATAGCACATCGACTTTTATGACCGGCCGTAAGTATGCACGGTATTAGAGGCGGAGGGAGTGGCGCGTCCTTTAATCGCAGGGAGCGACTCGTGTACGACAGACTTCCGGTGGGAAACGTTTTTCTCATACTCATACGCGGCGCGTACACGATGATAGCAGCGGGGTCGACGAATGCGAAATTGGCATTCGGCCGCCGCGGCACGTATAATTGAGTTCCGACTCGGTTCTCGCGTGCACGACTAGAATAATTCCGATGGCCTAAACGAATGCACGGCCCTCGCCGCCACCCTCCCTCCTCCTCCTCCTCCCTCCGGCCACGCTTGAATTATTCTTTCCGCACGCGCGTCGCGCCGCGTGTTGAAAAGCACGGGAGTCGAGCCGAAATTTCTGAAACGCGTGGTAATTTATGCGCGATGGCTTGCATTAGACAAATTTGGAAGCGGGTTGTGGTTACGATTTCGTCTCTTTTTTTTTCTCTTCTTCTTTTCGTTGAATTATACGTTGAATTATAGTATATTGGATCAAATGAGTTAATTGAACTTTGTTATTCTCCGTAGATGCTCGTTTCGAGTATTTGAAAGATAATTGTTTTTTTCTTTTTTTTTTTTTTTTTCATCGAAGGAATATTCGACGAAGTTTCTCCCAAGTTCTTTGCTGTATTTGTCTATCGGTTACGTAATAATATATTTAGCTACGAATCGGTAGATCGTAAAATTTTTATCGTATCATTGACAAGGATCGTAAAATTACAACGAATTGCTGTTTGAACATTTCATTTTGGCTATTGATGAAGATCGATCTATTTCGATTAAAAGGAAGAAAAAAGGATAAAAGAGGGACGAAATCCGTTTGCAAACGCAAAATCAGTTCGGCCCGTCCTCGATTTAACGAGCGCACATGCCCGACCGCTACAAATCGTCTGATCGAGGTCATGACACAAACCGCAATCTGCAGTTGCGTAATACGCGTCACTGGCATGCGGGGACATAATCAGCGCGTGCACTGAGCGCCGGCTAGTGGCTAGTACAAGGTGAAGCCGGCAGCGTTTACACGTGCGCATGCACTCCTCGTTCGCACATACGTTTGGTGCATGCTGATATATAGGAAGGAAGGGTAAGAGGGAGGGAGGGAGGCGACGCGTTTCGAGATTCTCTCATAGGATTGAAACGCTTGAAACGAAGAAGGGGGAAACGAAGTGGCGATGAACGGAGAGAGAAACCGCGATATAAACCATCCGAGGAGAGGAAGAAGGTGAGAAAGAGAGAGAAGGGAGGAAAAGCGGCGTACGCAAGGTAGGACAGAGATACGTAGATAGTATGGATGAGACAGCGGCAGTAGGGGCTAAAGGCTGAAGGGACGACAGAGGCAAATAGACATAAGCGCCAACCCCCATGAATATGTATTACTCGGTAAACAGGGGTTGAATCAATATTTCGTTTAATAACACTGCACGTTGGAACGCAATTCTCCCTGCCTCTCCTCTCCCCCTCTCCACCTCCATCCTGATTGGGCCTCTCTCTTTCGCCCTATCGCGTCCTATCTGTCTCTTCCTCCTCCTCCTCCTCCTCCTCCTCTTCTTTCCACCACGCGCGTATCGCACGCTTTCGTGCACGCACAGAGAGATAGATAGATAGATATATATATATAGAGAGAGAGACATAGCCAGCCCAATCCCAACCCTCTACCCTAGCCGCCAACCAAGGGGGTGCATTTGTACAGGCGCACAGGATATTCCCTGACACGTATTTAAACGCACAGGTATGGACGAGTCGCACCTCGGGCAACGCGCTATGGTGCCGATCCACCCCTCGGGCCAGCCAACCCCTGCTACCACCCTCCGCGTATTATTCACGCCGCGTTAAACCTCGTTTAGGACTATTACGTTTCGTTTGCCGCCGCTGCACGAACGACGACCTGCTCCTCCTCCTCCTCCTCCTCCTCCTCTTCCTCCGTTGCTTATACCGAATACCGAATTGAATACCGTCGGTGGGGACGGAGAGGTAGTTGTGCACGATTTTCTCTGTGTATCCGCGTATTTATCGCGGACAAGCTACGCGGATTGTTTTTTTTTTCTTCTTTTTTTTTTTTTATTCTCCATGCAACGAAGGTACGGAATAATTGCTTCGGCGAAAATGCGATTTCCGATGGAAATAACCTTGCCGTCGATGCGTTTTTCGACCCACCCTTCGTACCGCTTTGAACATCGCCCGATTATTGCTCGTTCGATGACCACGACTACGCTTTTCGAGCTTTTCTCTCTCTCTCTCTCTCTCTCTCTCTCTCCCGTTTTTCATTCTTTTCCCGTGGAAAAGGAGAGGGAGAGAATGGTATAAATGGCGTTTTATTCGTGTTTGGCGGGTGACACGGTGTTGTGTCACGATCGTCGATCGATGAGGTGTCGAGATGTAATCGATACGTTTTGTCGTGTATGAAGCGGGGGGAATGATTATATATACGATGCGGCGCGATGGTAATGGTGATGCACGCGTTGCTGTAGGCGTTCGAGGTAAAAAAAAAAAAAAAAAAAAAAAAAATGGTAATTTATGCAAATCATATTCTTGGATCGGGCGAGCGTTATATTGCGTGGAAAAGTTGTACGGTGATTCAGTGGCTGTGAATCCTCTCCGGCAATACGCGGCAAATGAGCGATTTAATGAAAACGAGTCGATTATTCGCTGCGCTATATTTTTGGTAGTAGACTCGTTTGAAATCCCTCCTTAACGTGTATTATATATGTATATATGTATTTCTGTGATTCGAGTGTTTTTCGAATCCGAAATTGAATTTAGATAAAGCGAAAGGTTATCTTTGAAACCTTTGGATAAAATTATTTAGCGATCTTTCTTCTCTTTCTTTTAAAAATAAACGCGTTTGTGAAATAGTGCGTGCGATATTTCGTAAATTAACTCTTGGTTAACACGATTCTATTTTATTTTGTTCTTCCACTTTATTTATGATTTGTATATCTTCTAATTTCCATTCGCGAAACATCATAATGCGCAGCATTAATGAAAGAACATAATGTTTCATGGTTTATTAAAAATTGATAGGAAAGATGTGAAACACAACGGACGGATTTTCGATAATATTCATATTAATTTCGTTTCCAAGTGTATTTGTCATAAATACAGAATTTACATTCACGAAAAATTAAATTTACTTAATCTATACGATTTTTGTATCAATTCCTATTTCATGATAATATTTTTCTCTTATATTTTCACCGAAGAAACAATTTTTTTATGATTTGTATATAGTAACACTCGTTGAACTCGTTCAAACTTTCCATCGAATCAAAAATTAATCCATTGTTATTTCGTATTTTCGTAAATACGATCGTATTATTCGTTTGGAAAGAAACTTTTTCAATCTCTGTTCAACTCGCGCAAAATTAATTCATCCTGAAACATGTTTATACATATATACATATATAGAAAAACTAAAAAAAAAAAAAAAAAAAAAAGAGGAAAACCAAATTTCTATTCAACTCCACATTTTTACAATATTTAAACAAATATTAAATATTTCAACATTTCTATCATAGATATTTTTATCCCAGTTAAAAATACGCACAATTTCCACACAATTAGAAGAAACAAACATCCCAGCTTATTTATCCCTTAACAAAAATCCTCTTTCAAAGAGAAGAAAAAAAAAAAACATCATTCCCTATTTTCCTATCCCTCGATGAAAACATCATTCCCTCGACCGCGAAAAGAGTTTCGTTTCGTCCCCCGAAAAATCGATACGTCCCTGAAAAATGAACGTCGACGAGTGACGAGGTGGTGGTCACCCCCTCCTCCAACGTTTCAACCATCTCGCCTCGCGATCTCTCTCCATCGCCCCCTTTTCGTTCGTCGAACGGGCCTCGGCCATAGAGAAAGTAGGGACAGAGGGAGGGAGGGGGGGAAGAAAAAAAAAGTTGTTGCGCGCGTCAAAAGCCCCTCGCCGGAAGTCGAGTGGCCGCAAGGCAAATTGCGAGCTACATCCGTGGAGTAGGTACACGTGCACAGGGCGGCGCAAATACGTCCCTAGGGGGTAAACTGTGCTGCGGGAAGAGACCGTACGAGCTGTATACACACGGCAAAGCCGCGACCCCTCGTCTCTCTCTTGGCCCATTCAGCGACAGTCCAGGAAAATAACTATCGTACACAATCGGCGCGTAGCCCGAGAGGGGTTATTTCGCATAATCCACCCTCGTCGGTGCGGCCACGACCCCACGTTCCACGGGAACCGTGTGTTATTTCCCCTCCCCCTTTCCACCGTCTCTCTCTCTCTCTCTCTCTCTCTCTCCACCGATCCTAAATACCTAAGTGAAATCCACGATAAGCATGATTCGCGCACGTAACGAGTTTACCGGCCTCTGTTATCCCCTCTTGATCTTACCCTGGATTTCTCTCCCCTTACTGTCTCTGTCCTGCTTTCGTTGGATCCTATTCTTTCTCTCTCTCTCTCTGGCTCTCTTTTGCACTTTATCTCTATCCGTCCCCTCTCTGTTTCTCGTTCGCTTCTTATGGAGTAGCTCTTGGGACCCTCTGATCGCCGCCACTGGTCGGCCCGCAAGGGCACTCGAGCACGGATTCGTTTTCACCCTTGCTACGTATGACGTCAGGATGGGGATGACATTTCATTAGGTGGAAACCGCGCGAGGAAGTATATATATGGGGAGATAAAGATACATTCGCTTGCCTTATGGTATTACTTTTATTCGAATTTGTTTGTTACGTTGAATGCAATCTGAACAAAACGTGTATACATACACAAAAAAATATTAATTTTAATTTCACCTGTGTATTTGATCAATTCGATAAACAACAACGTGGATTGGAAGGGTAAAAAAGTACAATTACGGTTTTTTCGTGGGTTGCAGCAACAGAGACCGGATATATCAAGATTGTTGCAACAAATGCATGCTCAACAACTGCCACCGGGGACGGCGCTAGGCGCTCATCCGGGGCTACCCGGACTTCCGGGACTAGGACCAGCTGCTGGACTTCCGGTGCCAACTTCCGCCTCCGCCGCGCTTCTTAGCCTTGGCTTGACGCCGGGGGCCGCCACTGCACCCGGCACAACAGCGGCTCATCCGCTATCGATGTTGAGTAAACCGGAATTGCATCGTCAGCCCGACGATTTAAAGAGCAACGGTGGTGAGTATATTTTCGATTTTTCTTTCTTTTTTTTTTTTTTTTTTTTTTTT